TTCTAGAAGCCAGCTAACCAGTTTGCCATTATTTCACCAACATGCTTCAAAATATGGTCATAGTGGATATATTTTGGCGTGGATCACCCGCCCATCTGAATATTGTAAACCACAACATTGATTTTTTTTTCATTAAAATATATGGTCCTTCCCAATACCTAATTAGTTTTGGAGTTCATCTTCTGTTGCAGTGGAGATTGTATAACCATATCACCATAATGAAATTATTTCTTATAAATATTTACATAATAGTGACATTTCATTTTATCATTTGTTGATTTAAGCCTTTCTCGGGTAAAGTCATGTGTGACATCAAATGATGTTCCTTAGTTACTATGCTAATTCTATAAGACTCTAATGAGCGATTATCCTCAGGATGCGAATACAGAAGGTCCAAGGTCACTTTGAGTTCTCTCTCAAACATTAGTGATATGGTGTCTCGCCTGTAGCTTCGTATGCTATTTATTGCTAACTCATTAGTAGCAGTAGAAGATATTCCTCCAAAGTTTTCTGATATTCATCCACATAAATTATTACTTTATTTAAAAGTATACTATTGTATTTCTCTACCATTCCAACAGAAGTGCAATAAAGGGTTTTTGTCTGGGGTATTTTCCAAGGATTTCACACATTTTCACAAAATAGACTGATTCAAAAATCTATACCTGATCAACGTTTAGCTTCATAGGCACAACATATATTGAAATTATTGACTGAAAATTTCCTTGCTATAGTTCTGCTGCTAACTGGTTAGGAGCAGCAGATGCATCTGGCCATATGGTGAAATAATCCATCACAAATGTGATGTATTTATTCCCACTGTTTCTCTGTGGCAGAGGACTAAACATATTGACAGAAATTCTCGCATGTGGTGCTCCAACTGTTGTATTTGTCCATTCTGCCTCTTTTCAGCACAAAACTATACTAGAAACATTCTCTTACTTTTTCCATTGTCCCTTTAACACTTAAGTGTCTGAGTGTAATGACTGTGGAAGTAACAACTTTCCAACAAAACAAAACAATCCTTCTCCTAGCATAATGTATTACACTGTGTCCAGGACATCTTTGTCTATTGGCAAGGGTGGCATTTCACTGGATTTATAGGGATTGTAAGACCATTAAATAAAAGCTTAATCCAAAACCAAAACTCATCCTTTTACCAAATCTAAAAAATAATTGTTCAATCACAATTTATTATATTCTCATGTAACTTCAAATGAAAGTTTCTCAAAAAATATACAATACAATATAAAAAAATTAAAACAATATGATTTAACTATATTGAGCGTATTGTATTTAAAGAAACAAAAATATTGTTAGGAAGCACATGAATATTGAGGACAGTGAAAATCTGACAATTAATTAAAAAAACCTTTATAGCCTTATTGTTCTTCTTTAATTTTTGATTTATTTTATAATAAATGTATAATATATAATTTACTATTTACCAACGGTCAGTAGTCGTACAAAATTGTGTTCAATTTTTAATCAACGTATACACTGTCAGTCAACATAATAGTTATAACTTTCAATTATCTTGCAAAGATAGTAGAATAAGAACAATGCTTTAACAGGTGAAAATAATAGATTAAAAATCGTGACTCTTAAAGCTACTAAAAATTGTTTGATGGTAGATGAACGAAATTTGGCATTCAAAATACAAATGAATTGGATAAAGTGTAGCCATATATTATTTCTACATTCTAATATTTTGATTCAGTGGTTGCATGCAGATATTCTGCATTGTGATACGCATAATTTTTTTTCGTCTGATTTAGTTATATGGAAAACTTAAAAAAAATCATTTGTTTAGTTTATTTGCAGTTTTAGAATAAACAAATGGTCCAGAAATTTGTCGAGACAGCCTTGTTTTGGCGACTTTGTTTCTTTGTTCTCTATAGTATATAATATCTATTTGACCAAAAATATATTGCTGTATCATAAAGCATCTTGAATGAAAAGATTATTGACTGTAATATACTTTACTGACTGAATTGACAATGTCTCAATGCTATGAAAGAACAAAGGCGGCGTTGTCAGCTGCAAAAAAGGAACTGACCCTACATGCTAAATTTACATGTGTTTTTGTAGTTCAGTTGTACTTGGTTTCGTAATGTGATTATTTTGACAGAGAATAATCTTGATGTATAAAGGCTGACTAACCTGCAATTCACTGATTAAAACTCAGCGAATTTATTATACATAGATTAGTATCCTTATTTCCTAATTGAATCTTCTGGTATTAGTGGGTCAAGCTATTTGATACTTGTAGGGGATTCAGTTCACCGAAAGATACACAGTTAGATAACCAGAAGAAATTATGGAGTTATTTGTTTGGTTAAAGTTGTGCTGGCTCATGTTTGATCTCGTACGTTTAAAAAAGTTTAAAAGAATGATTTTATTGAAATAACGACTTATTCTATACGTGGAAGCACTCACTATGACAAAACGCTATAATTTATGGAAGCGATGACAACTGAGATTCGTCAATGTGGATTTGCTCCACTTGAGTCCGAGACCTCTTGGGGTGGTTTCCACTGAGCTCCTAGGCTATCGCTAGTTAGAATATTTCAGCCATGGCTCCGATGCAAGTCATGGATAAGCAGCCTAGAAAGACTGGAAATGCTATTAGTGGATGACCTATGTCAGTTAGATTTGTTTTATTAACAAATGAGATAAGGGACATCTATCTGCATCATAACTTGTGGATATTCCAGCCTGTACTCTTTCTTTCTCTGTTGTACTTTACGGCGGTCATTTTTACCATATTATGCTTCCCTCTTTTCACAGTGTTTACATTCTTTATGAATACAAGGTCTTTGATAAAATGCATCAGCATTTCTATGGTTCTGTCCAGGGTGATGCAGATACTAAAGTTTTACTACTAATGATAGAGCCATCTTGCTATCAAGCATTCTGGATTGCAGAAAATTCACAAGCCACTTTAATTTTGTAGAATATTTGCAGAGTGCAAACGTTTTGAAGGTAAGAGTGGAAATAACTAGCACAAAAATTAGTAGCTATTTGTGAGTTATACAATAACTCCTTTCTGCAATATTTATTGCTTTGCTATAGTAGGTGATATCATGGTCTTTCCCGTGTTGTAGTTGTGATAGCACCTGTATCTAATATGAATGCATCTAAAACAGGAGTAATAGTTAATTCTTTCTTCAAGTTGTTCAATGTTTGTATACAATTAGTAGTCCAAAAACTTATTTGGTTTTTCAAGTAACTTTTGTAGATTACGAGCTATGTAGAAGAATGATTTTACATAATGACAATAGCAAAAGTACAGTCCAAGAAATCCTCTTACCTCACGCAAGTTTTGTGGTGTTGCTCAATTCTGGACATACTCATTCAAAATAACCTAACTCCTGACACTAATATTGTAACAGTTTCTATTGTCTTGCGAGTTAGTTTTCATTATTCGGCATACATTATGCAAATTCCAGTCTACGTAATGATAACGAAAGTATTTATTTATTTATTCATCTTTATGTAAGATTCAAGTTCTAAAGGCTATGATTATTGATTAGGCCTAACTTACAAATACAACTAGATAGTCACTTACTTGTTAAATTTGTTTCCGTATCTATGACACAACTCAAAACGAACTGACTAACTCATTCTGTAATCAATGGATAACATAGTGATAGATTTATTAGTTAATTAATGAGCTGACTGACTCACTGTCACACTCACCGACTGATTCAACTCTGGTGTTTGTATGCTGCTTTTGTTTTCCTAAACTCATTTCTCATGAATATTCTAGAAGTAGCGTCAAAGCTAGACACTAAGGTAATTTATATACGTCACACATTACTTATTCATGCCAAAATTTATCTTAGCAAACACTACAAAACGGCTAAATCTAGTTATTAAAATTAACCTACAACAGTGTGAAAACTATATATATATATGTTTACTGGCTTCATTGTGGTAACTTAAAGGATGATGAAAATATTCAACACTGGAATTGTGCCAGCAACTACTTTGACTTATCTCAATACGGATTCATACAAATAGGAGCTCTTTATTGAAAATTTATAAAGCAGTGTTTTTTGGCTAAATGAGCTCAAAAACTATATTATGGCAATTGAGCGAAAATTTGACTTTCTGTATCTCGAGTTCAAAAACAACATTAAAAACGTAAATATATTATCCTACAAGTTAATATGTTTTCAATATTTCATGAAAATTAGATCACGATTAATTTAATTTATTTAGAAATCTTATTCTATTGGGGTTAATTATTTGTATATAACTCTGGTGACAAAAGCTAAATAAAAAATATAACTCAATAAAAAAAGTCACCAAACATGTTCACCCTTTCTATCGTAGAGGCGTTATTATGCGACGATCAATTCTACTATTCGTTGGTAAAATATAGCCCAAGAGTTGCTGGTGGATAGTGATAACTATCACGTCAAAATAAGGGGCGTTTAGCATAGATATACCTCAGGTAGCTTTTCACGAAATTCAACAAATGAAGAAACAGTAACAGGAATTGCTTACATCATACCAACTCATTCCCTTTCCGCTTTCAACACACTCTGTTCGTTACAGTACGACTTTATATTTATTTAACTTAAGAATGCGGGTCTTAAGAAAATAAATGATATGAGGAAACCCATTTTCTCACGACAAAAAACACTAATTAATTTAGATATATCAACATACCTCCATCAGCCTCACAATTCAGAAACAAAAGAGATCCTTCATTATACGGTCCAGCCACTCCTTCTAAGCGTTGGCCATTTTCATCCATAATAATTGTAGTTTTTGGAGGCACTGCATTATGTAAAAAGATAATTATGACGTTTGTATTCTATTCAAATGCAATATATGTAATATACTTTTTTGACCTAATAATATATTATAACACAATACATTAAATGTATACTTTGAAGTTATTTTGCGTTAATTAATCCTTTACTGTCATAGGTATTTTTTGGGAGATATGCTGCAACATTCTATAAATAATAAAGGTTTTTCTCTTATTATATTATTGATAGAAACATCTTACCAGTGACATTCAAAAATATTTTCCATTTTTCAGTTCGCGATCGTCGATAGTCTACTCGACACTCATATTCTCCCTCATCATCTTTCTTAACTTTTCCGATCTTGAGAGCTGGAGGTCTAGAGTTTAAATAAAACTGAGCTCTTGAACCAAGAGGATCATCTGAAAAGTGTGCTGTTTTGTAAGTTGAGTCAGAGCGGGCATCATAGCTGTAAAAGGGAACACCAGAATCTTCTTTAAACCATAAAACTAAAGCGATACCATCCTTATTAGGAAAAGCCGCATTACAAGGTAGAATAGTAGGATATCCTTGGATGGCTTGTACCTCCGAGGAAGCTGAAAAAAAAAGGTTGTCAGTAGTAGAATTCAACTGATAAGTAAACCATAGTGAATTGGCACAGGACAACAGGTTTGTGTAAATTCAGATAATGTAAAACCGAAACAAACTCAATTGAACTGAAATAACAAAAATATGTGTACAGTGTGTAACAATAACCAAAATTGTAAACATTATCAAGAGAGTAGATTACTATATTTTGTACACCGTCTTTCTACACTTCCTAGCACATGCACAATGTGACGAAGAACCACGTATTCTCACAAGGAGGTACATAAAATGTACAGTTAACTAATGATATATTGCTTTTGGAAATGTATTCGGTTAAATTACTTATTGAAATTAAGCTCAAGTCATATTCGTCTAAGAATATGACGAAGTTTGAACACTAAAAAAGTACAGTATTGATGCGGTTTTAATTGAGTATTTGAATGTAGTGTTTAAATTTCTAAATCATTATTCCTAATTAATTATTCTTATGTTGTATTGAAGTGTTTCTAGCTTTTCAATAATGAACAAAATATTTGTATTATTCCATAAATGTATGAAATCAATATTTTCTTTGCGGTTAATACTATAAAATGCAACAAACGTACTCAATTGTAAAAATTTTACTATACAAATCCAAATAACCTTGAAGTAAACAATCAGGTTGACAAAAAATGGCTAAGAAAACCGTATAAGCTTCTAATGGGAATATTAATCATTTTTGAATTAAAAAGAGCTACAATTAGCTTAAGAATGTCGAAATGAAAAACAAATTATGAGATTGGCTTGAAAAATCATTTCAATACATTGTATGAGAATCACATCTTTCAATTAGGTAATATAGGGAAGATCAGTGAATTATTCCTCATGTTTATCTTACTCATCTGCAACAATTATTGTGATGCAGACGAAAACATATTTTCTACAAAGATGTACTGATACATTATTGCAAAGATATCTAGCTTTCTTGATGTTTGTATTTAGAATTTTTGTGTCATGCTACACAAGGGCTATCTGTGCATAGCCGTCCGTAATTTTGAACTGACAGACTAGAGCAAAGGCAGCTAATCAACAGCGCCCACTGACACTATCAATTTTTGGACTATCCTTGTTTGTCCGAAGGGTGGGATTTCCTCTCACTCTTATAACAAACCCACGGCATCTTAGTGACTATCTGTTGCCATTCCTTTTAGTGAAATTAGTAGACACATTCCTTGTAAATATAATACAGTATTGACCCAATTTTTGAATTTTCTGAAACTATTAGATTATTTTGAAATCAAGTCTCGAGGTCTGCGTTTCCATTCACATATACGCATGTCGATGTTTGATGAGATCAAACTAAATGCCATTACTTCCAAACTCACAGTTAATTATTTCCTTACGGAAATACACAAATAAATGTTTATTGGAGTAATGAATGGCTATGTTCAGCGTTCTTTACCACGGTATCCCAAAGTGAATTTACATTAGTCATCTCTTTGATTACACTGATTCCTGGTGTCTAATGTTAGATACTGAGGATATTTTGGATGCTGTTGTATGCGTCTGTTAAATTTAAGGTATGTCCTTGATATAATAACAATCTGATCCTGATTACCTAGATTAAAAAAAGGCACTTTGAGACACCTATTATCATTGTTACTTAGGGCTCTGTCAGACTTTTATGAAAGGCATGATGTCGGGAATTAGATCTTAATATAAATGGTTAGCCTTTATTTACACACGCTTTGAGCACTTGAGAATGAGGTTGCATGCGATTTTTTTACTTGTTTAATATCTGTATAAACAAAACTCATTACATTTGTTTGTATATTATCCATCATATACAAAGAAGTACACTTTAGAGATTCACTAAATAAGTTTTTATCTTATGAATTTGAACGTCTAAGCGCAATTCTAAATACCAGTTTAGTGCTCAAATTTAGGACTACTATGGCTTTGTAGTTTGGTTTATGTTATTATCTTATGATTGGTTGTAAGCTTACTGTAATATTTCAATCAGTAACCAATCAAAAATATCGCATTACTGAATAGTGTTAATGGGAGGCTAGCGTTATACTTACATTTCTTGTTCTTCCAAAGTTTTTTATTTAAATACTTACTATTATTTTAGAATTCTTAGCCACCGTAGACTGCAAAATGGTTTTAGAATATTCCTCAAAACTTGCCGAAATACATAAACAAACAAGTAGTTTCAAGTGATTTTGATGATGAAACTTTCAAGAGAATATTTAAAATTTCAAGCTGGAGCATAAAAATGTGATAAATATGTGAATTAGCAGTAAATAACATTATATACAATTTAAGCAACTAGCAAATGCTTCTATTTGTTTGTTTGTTTTTGAATTTGGCGCAAAGATACTCGAGGACTATCTGCGCCAACTGTCCCTAATTTAGCAGTGATTGATTAGAAGGCATTCAGCTATTCAACACTACCCACCGCCAACTTTTGAGCTACTATTTTACTGACGAATAGTTAGATTGATCGTCACATTATAACGCCCCCAAGGCTGAAAGGACGATCATGGTCGGTAATGGGGATTCAAACCCTAGGCCCTGTTTCCTCGTTTTGTCCCCCAGTGGGAAGCGGAAAGTCTTCACATTTACAACACTAGAATCAGGGGTTCAATTCCCCTCGGTGGACACAGCAGATAGCCCGATGCGACTTTGCTATAAGAAATCAAACAAATAAACAAATTTTTCGTTTTTCCCAATTGAAAAAGCTAGAGTTTCTATTAAAAAAATCATAGGAATTCTTATGCACTTGGCTTATGATAGACTAAAATAAAATGTTAGCAAATGCACTTTGTCATTATCTTATTGGCCTTCAAAAAATATTCACATTTATAAACAAGAAATGAGATAATTATTTACTTACATCTTAGCATGTATTTACTATAATTTCCTTTGACACATAAACTTGACTATAAATTATGGTATTTCATGCGACACATTACCTTGAATTTTAATCGACATGCCATTTTTTTTAAAAAGCGAATTACTTTTACTTTGAAAATATTCAAATATTTTATGCATCACGTCACTTTAATTCTTAAAAGCAGGCTACATCAAACCTTGTTTTAACTTCTATTCACGTTATTTCCTTTTTATACTCATTATCTCTACTCCCGATAGGCAATGCATATTCTTGTTAAACACGTTATTTTGATTTCAAAAACATGTTGTATTTCGTCAAACATATTTTTGTGTATTAAATTCAACTTTGTTCCTATTGTCTAAATCAACAAAGGTGAGTTTGACAGACATCTCGTCAGAAAAGTACATAAGCTATATACATATATACTTTTACCTAAAAAGAGGCTAATTGTCTTTTTTATCATTCTAATATATTGTTCTGCTAATTATCATTTACTTCTCCTATTTCGTCAGAAAGCACAATTTATTTTTGTTATAAAATACAACAAACTCTTAAAATCCCAAAGTCAAGAGTTTAAGTTCAAAACAGAAATAAAAGTTTCGAATAACTTGGTGTTATATTAGCATTGCAAATTAACCACATTAAAATGCTTTGTTCGTGTATAAAAGACGAGTTTTGGAATATTATTTTTATTAAATACGTTATCGTAAAGTTTCAATTGGCAATAAAAACCAAAATTACAAAACACACTACACAGTTGTAGCTCTTAATGAGAACGATAAAAATACTTCAAATTGAATTACGGCTGATATTATTATCATCTTTGTTATGTTCTCCTATTTTAAGTGTTCTGCATTAAGGAAATTGCCTATAAACCCTATATATATCATTATATATATTCCAGATTTATATAGGAAAATAAATTTATCTCGAACACTTTGTCTTGCTGGAAAACACACGAACAAACCGACGTAGGATACTGATTTTTCGTTAGTTTTATCTCGTATCAATTTGTTGTCTAGATCACTTATTTTATGCTAATTTGTATTGAATACATTCCTCGAAATTTTCGATTTATCTCCAAATCTAAATTTAAAACATTACCATACTACTACAGCAGTAGATCACATCATGTGAAAATCACTTAAATATTATGTAATTGTTATTAAATTAAAGTTCTTTTTTAGTATTATGTGTATAATTATTGTTAATATTTTGAATTGAATTCTTATAATTATCTTTATATCACGTTTATGATAATTATCATTATTCTTAAAGTCCTTAGTTCTATGTTTTTAATTTTGCACTTGTGTGTATAGTGAATGCTGTTAGGCTTATTATTATTTTGACATATTTATTGTGATTAGTATCCCTTTTAATTGTTTGTTTAAATTATAACGTTTGCAGTCATTCTTTTTAGTCAGTTACTTCCACTTCAATTGTAGAACACAAGCACAATAGGTTAAGATAACATGATAGAGAATTCGCCACCCATTGTGCAGCTTTGCACTAAAAAAACAACAACAGCTATAGAGTTCATGAAATCTAAAACACTTATTGCTGAGTAATTACCATTATGTTTATGAACCTGAAAATGTTGATTGCTTGAAATGTTCAATAACATTTATGTTTTTCGTACTTTTATGCTAAAGTATCCAACTATCACGAAATGTCATAGTTCTTTTAATGGTTTATCTTTCTTTGAGTTTTCCTTTATAATCCTTGAGACTTGTATCTCCTATATATTTCAAGGCTTAACTATTTTGTGTTTGCATTTATGCTATTTTATTTATATTATATATATATAGCTATGACATGTATCAAACATTTTTTTTCAGTATACTGGCGCTAGAGCTCTCTTCAACATGGTATTTCTTTTACAAATACATCAATATATAGCCCTTAGTCCATTTTTATGGCGACTCTATACTCATTACAGCAAGATTTCACTGTGATAACTAGATCTAACTATCCTAGAACTAAATATGCATAAAGTAACTGCTCACCTTACTTTTATTTCAGTTATTGACTTTATAAATTTACTACTTCTTAGGCGGGTTACTGTCACTCTTATACCAAAGTAAGGAAAAAATAAAGAATAAGTAAAATAAAGAACAACGCTTCAACGAT